CTTGTCAAGCATTTGCTAACGCAGAATTTGTGACTTGAAAGACCTTACTTCTCATGGTTAGTACATGATATCCATTGCTTAAATGGTATGAATCTCGAACATAAAGAACTAACGATGAGCAACAGACCTACTTTTCACATACTATTGGTGCTAGTTCAACATCTAGCTTAATGGCGGACGCCACTTCGTGCCTTCAAACCCTTCGTCTCCATAGCTCCAGTGCGATCAATAAGTTATCTAATGACCGCTTGGAGCAAACAAATATCAAGAGAGCTTTCTGGTCAATTTACTCCATGGAAAAGCTTTACTCTCTACAAGAAGGACTCTTGCCAGTAAGTAGTTCATCATGTAACAAGGTGTTTCATAGAATCATCCTTGAGACGGACGATTCGCTCATGGCAACAACCGCTAACTCTGTACTCTCTAGCTAATACACGGTGAATATGCGGATCACAAGATTTCTTCAACCCAGAAAGCCTCAGATAGAGGACCCGACTGGCTGAGTGTGTATGTCAGGTACGCAGATGTTTGCTCGGGAATTCTACGACAACTCCACAGCCAACGACATGACAGCCGAGACTGCTCAATTTGCTGTGGAAGAGGTTACTGCGAACAAAGCCCTGCCTCCACCCTATGTCGGCTGGAAGACAGTCTCATGATGTGGAAAACCGACTTTTCACTCAACTTCAACGTCGATAACTTATCGGCACTTCCGTGTACCGAGAGGCGCCACAGGCTAGCCTATATCACCAGATTTCATTTTGCCATCATTGCAATCTATTCACTGCCGGAGATAGAGGCCACAGATATGAGTAAAGAACGGCGTTGCGAGTCAGCACGCCAAATACTCAACTTGAGCTCACACATATCCTGGTCTGATCTGTGTGATGACTGGTTCGTACTTACCTCCTTGTATTTGGTATTTTTATGCATCAAGATCATTGACTAATACTTCTTCTTATAGGGAACTTTGCTCAGCTATATCTTTGGCGACGTGCATAGTCGCAACGGGAATCATCCAAAAAGCCTCGGTCGCAGAGGCAGAAAGAAGCATAGCATTCACTGACAGCATCCCAACTTACATGTATTCTCACAAGACCAGTTGTGAAATAGATATACCATATATCGGTATAGCAATCGGTTTTTTCAGTCGAATATCGCTAAGCACAACTCATGATTTTGGAGACGCAGCAATGGAACTGTGTAGTTTTGCTCTCAGCTTGGCAAGGTGTTAGCTTGAACCCGCTGGAAGGGTTTAGTTTTTATCACCCCACTTGTACTTGTAGTAGATATGAAACAAAGAAGTATATATGACCACATATCCAAGTCACCAAGCCAGTCCTTGACCTTAATGTGAACGTTCTTCCAAATACCTTTCTTTAACATAGGCACGTCCAGCGATTCTGTGAAGGAAGCTTTTGTGGAGATACATATTCACAATCGTTGCCCAGGATCGCATCACACTACCCGAATTCTGGATCTGCGATCACTGTATACACATCTAGAGTAGCAATACATGCTAACAGGGTATCCACTAAAACTACTGCGTATACACTCAAAAGCAGTATGGTTTGACAAATCGTTTGATTGCCCACTTTCCCAAGATATACTAACCATACACTAACAGGGTTGTTATATAGGAAGTGGACGCATCAGGCACCAAAGCAGTAGCAGCCCGAGCATGCACAGGGCACTATGAATGCTTGGATTAGGAGCCCTATAGGCCTAGATCAGGAGAATGGCAGCAGGCCAAGCAATTCATCAAGCTTCATGGCGGCAGCAAGCACCAGCATTGTTAATTCACCGGACCGGACGGGGGACTTTAAAGAGGCCCATCTGGACGTGTACTAGGAAGAGTAAGTGGCCCGAAAGTTCCACCGCTCATGTGCGGCAAAAAATACCGTGGGCTGCCATTATTCTACGTACATCCCTACGTTGCGAGCGGAACGTCCGGAGCCGCAGAAAGTCCGTACCCACGGATCATCCGCTGGAGTCGCGGAACGCTCGGAGCATGTATACCCCAGGGGCTCGTAAGTATAGAGGCTACGGGAGGAATATTTCGCAGCTTTGATATCCAATCAAATATTTAATCAATCGCTCTTGACTGGACGTACAGGCATGCCTCGGTGCCGAGGTACATCGGTGTGTATCTTAGTACTTATGCTTGAGTCAGTGTACTCAAGGCAAAGGAAGTATTTGACAAGCTACGGTAGGAAAATCGGGCTCATTACTCGCCACCGTCTCTACATACCTCATTGGGGCTAGTGTGAGATGAACGCTTTGTTATATGTAAACAGTCATCAATACTTTAGCAGAGCATTTTGCCTCATACCCATAGAATAAGAATCGTTGGCTTGAGGCGGTCAACAATTTGGGTGTATTAGAGGTTGTATTTCATGAGGAACTCGCTGTCTTTCTGTACTGGTGTTGTGTTGATAGTCAAATAGGAGGTTTCGCAATAAGAGCTAAGCGTCAAGTCTAAATGTTATTTGGATAGGTACGATCCACATACTTCAGGTATCTACTTAGCTCTTGAACATCAAGTTCTATCATTTCTGAGAGCCTAGTAGAGAGTGTTTGTTCTATCATCATACTCTAACGTAGTGGATAAGCGAGTCGCGCAGGCAAGCGAGTCGCGCACCTCACCAACTTTCTTATCCTATCATACTTGCATCCATTATGGCTCCACACCACGCTACTCAATTACTCTTAAATGGATCAGATATTCAGCTTGCTATATAGTCTCTTAATTCCAATTAAATTCAAATAGGCCGGCGCGCAGCTTTAATCTTTAACGTGCCTAAATTAATACTACGTGATTAACGCGCTAGGAAGCGCGCTAGACGCAATTGCTAGCCTAACTTAAAGAAGCTTACTTAGATAGAAGAGGAGGTAATTATTAGCTATGTGCTTGATCTAGATCAGCGTAGATTTGCGCCTACCTACGCTGCCGTGCGCAATATGGCTGATAAGCTGCTAGCTGCGCGCGGCGCTGGCCAAGTTAGGCAGAAGTGGCCAGCTAACTTTATCAGACGTATAGGCTCTCTTACTACTCGTTTTAATCGATCGTACGATAGACAGAGAGCCCTGTGTAAAGATCTAGTCTTAACCAAGAGCTGGTTTAAGCTTATAGAGCAGACAAAGGTTAAGTACGGCATCTGTGACGAGGACGTCTACAACTTTGATAAAGCCGGCTTCTTAATAAGTAAAATTACTACTTAGCTTATCGTTACAGCGTCAGAGAGAAGGACTCGACCAAAGGCTATCCAGCCAGGTGGTCGCGAGTGGGTAACGTTCATCGCTAGGATTAACGCAGCTGGCTAGTCTATCCTACCATTTCTGATCTTTACTGGCAAGCATCACCTATCTACCTAGTATGAGGAGGCAGAGATCCCACGCGACTGGGCGATCGCAGTCAGCGATAATGGCTAGACGAATAACGAGCTAGGAGTTAAGTAGCTAAAACACTTTGTTAAGCACACAGATGGCAAGGTTGTTGGGGCACGTCGGCTGCTAATTCTTGACGGTCATGAGAGCTACCAGTCACTTAAGTTCCAAGAGCTCTGCAAGGAGAACAATATCTACACGCTCTATATGCCGCCTCACTCGTCTCACCTGCTCTAGCCTCTCGACGTTAGCTGCTTCTCGCCATTAAAGCGCGCGTACAGCCGTGAGGTAGAGAGCCTAATACGTAACTACGTCAACCATATCACTAAGCTTGAGTTTCTGCCAGCGTTTAAGGCAGCCTTTGATTGATCATTTACCTCAGCCAATATCTGATCTGCCTTCCGTGGCGCAGGCCTTGTGCCTCTCTAGCCAGACGCTGTTCTATTAAAGCTTGACGTGAAGCTGCGTACACCTACTCTACCGGCTGTTCTAGCAGAGGCTCTCTGGCAGGCTCGTACGCCTAGCAACACACGCGAGCTTGAAGCTCATCAGCNCTGAGTTAATACGTGATCGGGTTTAGCGGCATCAAGACTTATCACCAGCTTTAATTATTACAGTAATTAGCTAGCTTAAGAAGGGGGTAGAAATAATGATGCTCTCGGCTGAGCTAATGCGCGATCGAATCGCCAGTCTTAAGATGGCTAATAAGATAGTAATAAAGCGTAGGCAGCGTAAAAGAAAGCGGATATAGAAGTAGGAAGTGCTTATAAAGGGAGCTGGCGAGGATGTAATCGCTTAACGCGAGACTGATGAGCAGATTGCTTATGAAGAGCGTTAGGGAGGAGAGCGATTAGGTGTTAGCCGTTAGGCTTTAGCACGCTGTAGCAGGTGCAGAGAGACTGGTCATAATGCACGCACATGCAAGAAAGATTCTCTAGCTACTAGTTAATCTACTATATCAATATATATCTATATTATCATGATGTGGTAGAGCTATACGCTAATGGAGGTGCGCAGGTTTGGTGAGGTGCGCGACTCGCTTGCCTGCGCGACTCGCTTATCCACTACGTTAGCAAGTTTTCAGACTTCAGAAATAGCAGTGGAGTTCCTATTTATCCACAGTGCATGTTTCAATTGTTTGCCGCCCATGTGCTCTAGAAATAATTTCCTCACTAGACGTACAGAGGCGGTCATCTTCTCTTCTAAACACCTACAGTATACGAGTGCGTAGACGAATGATGATTGCCGTAAGTTGGTGTAAGCACCTGTGCTGACGAAACTGCTCCTGTATCGTTGTGTGCCGTGCCGTGCCGTCCCATTTGAACCTCCTGTCATCGATCAAAACTGTACCACAGAGTATCTCGTGGCTTGAACCCTCGGTAACAAGAGCAATAGCACCAAAAATAGATACTGAATTTGAATGACTTGAAAGACAACATATGCTCTTCGTAAGTATGTACACTGTTCTAACATTGCAATGAGGTGCACGTAAACAACGTATAAACTTTCCCAAACTGTGGTAGCTACCAGGATTTTGTTTCATTACCAAGTCGCTTCGCTTCGCCCTAAGTCATAAAAGGCAATATTTTCATAATATAAGTATAACTAATAGAATGTCTCAAGTCCAACTCAGTCAAGTATGTTTAGCCGCTGCAGATGATTAAACCTTGGGGACGAGGTTGCATAACAAACTTTGTCCATCAAACAGTCCCTTACCTGAGTACACATTCATGCTAACCAGGCATCTTATATTAAGAAGTGAAACCAATGCTTGTTATGTTTTAAGTCGCATAGGGCTGAATGCTTGTATAATCTCACAGGCTTGAATATAAATAAACTTCCTTCGGCCACCTGTCTTCTAATTTATTTCTCATTCTCATTCATCGCACAGTGTGAATTCTCCCATTCTGAGATCACTTAAAACACCTTGGTTCTAGTTCTTTCCCGCAGGATCATACAGGACAATGAAGTACTTTACCATCATTGTAACAGCGCTTGCTACCCTCGCATCTGCGCGCGTAATAGTAAAGCCGCCTAGATGTGTTACCCTATGTCCAGCCTCAACGTTTTGCACTGTTGGAACGGTATGTTTTCCGCTTATCCTTGTTGCTCTCCTCCTTGCTTCATACTCGCTGTATTGTACATCTAGGCTGACGTACTCACAGGTACCATCGAGCACGAACATAAGTATAATACTCGGTGTAGGGAGAATGCAAAAAAATGTTGAGGCGAAGACTCTACAAAGGGAGTATCAGAATGAACATAAGAGAAAAGGGGGTATCGATACAGACAAAGGCCTTCAAATCAGCTGACTTCTACACAGGAAGGCTGCATAACGTGCTGCTAAATTAACGTGCTGCCACGATACATCATGAAATAGCGGTAGCGACGTCTATTCTATCCGTAGGCATAGTTGCCCGCATTCCTGGGCGAACTGGGCACTAATAACACCTGTAAGAGCTGGTTTGGGTTGAGGATAAGAAACTAAGGCTAGGTCATGGATCGTGATAGCAACTTTGGTTATTCATGGCTGAGCAATAATCGGGACACTCTAAAGAAGACAAAGACATGTGGCTAGAGCTTTTTGAATTACCTGAATAGAAGAGAATTGAGTGGAGTGCAGTTCAGGTTGGCCAAGGCACAATTCTCGCTTGAAGTTCCCACTTTAGGCTTGACCGTTTGAATTGGCATCCGGAGTCCCTTTTCTGGTCTTACCATAGCACTGCTTGATACTTTAATTTCCTTGCCGATTATAGGTTTTTCTTTTGACAACACGAATTCATAATCTCCGACCAAAGACGCTAACAAGTTCTGTCTTGGCAAATGATTGACCAATACAACTTCTCGGTCCATGTAAAAAGTTCATTATGGCAAATTTGTTTCGATGGCTGGACCTCTGCTTGGACGTTTCACTTTGTAGTTTAACACTCCAAAGACTCCATAGTGAACCAAGGTTCATCACATAGCTAAAGCATCTTCTCAAGTTCATCATATTTCGTATGCACAAAATTATGGCGGACGCTAGTGAAAGAATGCATAGGACTGCAGGACTCGACATGGTGTATGCACATTCATGAAAAATGTGTGTGTCGGCAACATTTCATTCTAGGATGACTTTCATGTGACCTCGGATACCAAATCAAGCAAAGGATGTAGCCGCCGGATACTCATATCTACCACACCGAGCATCCGAGCCTCGATATACTCCGATATGTATCCACGTAAGAGATCGGACTTGCAACGAGACGTAGTCTAGAATTTGGAATTTCTCAAGGTGTGAGGCTCACTGATATCAACCTTGGATAGTTGTCAACTCATGTCAACTCCAGAGCCAACCCTACATCATATCTGCAACCACGAGAATAAGAGACACGGGTGAACATCTTAATTGTTACCACGATGGATTTCGCAGATTACATCAGCGACAAACTATTTAGTCCTATTGTAGATGGCTGTCGCAACGCATTCGAGTTCACGTTGAAACTCGAACTGCTCCTTTTCGCCACCATTGCTTCAGTCATCTTTTTAATTTTATCATTTCCAATAATAGTATCACTTTACCTACAGCCAATTATTGCAGTCTGGCGATCCTGGCTTTACGTATCGAAACAGGTATGCATCTCCTTGGTGCTAGCACGGATATCACCAACCCTTCCAGCCCATATGGCATTTATCGCTCACTGCGATTGTAGGTTATATGCTCCGCCAAACCCATCCTTTAGATCGCCCTGTTCTTCATGAGAGTGCGACAAACAACGCGATTTAAGCTATCCGCTCTCTTTCTATGTACGCGTATCTTGACAACAAGCAGTGCACTAACATTGGTTGCAATATCCCACTATGGACATACCGAATTTCAAAGACCTGCTGCAATTCTCGAGGTGTACCTCAGTCCTACTCTTCTTCTAGACCTAGCGCACAACCAGACAATTTATCTTGATACATCCTCCAGCTCGGACACAATAATTGTATTAATCCAAACAACTACCTTTGCTTGTAAGGCGGTTCTCGCTATTTAGCAGCCGAAGGCCTGCGCAAAAAGTTTTTGAAGACATCAAAGGCCACTCAAGATGATTCCCAGAAGCCGACCACAAAAGCAGAAGTTCACTATTGCAAAGCCTTATCATCTGGCTGTTGGGCACTATATCACGGCTGATATCTTAGCAGCATTAGTACAAACAAAATTTTTTTTGTTGCCAGTTGCATAATTTGCGATGCACCAACATTTCCTTAGTAGTATGCTGCAGTGAAGCGAACTGTGTCAACAATTCCGTAGTTGAGTATCATTTGCAATAACGCGCTAGCTAAGAAATGGAACTCTCTAAAAGGCCATGAAAGTATATTCCCGATGAGAGACTGTTCGAAGGGTCGGGACCTTGGCGGCGCTCATCCAACCAATACGTACGTAGAGACCGGATACTCAATCAGAATACCATCACGCGTAAGAACGAGAAACTCTCACATTCACATGCTTCAACTCTCCACATGATATTCACAGGATCAGCGCTAGTCCAATAGTAACTGCCAAGTTTGACATTCGAGTGCAAAGCAGGACGAGGGTGCGAAGCAACAAGAAGAGGACTGGCTAAGTCGCTCAGTGAGCAGCTCGTTTAGCACATGACTAGCCAGCGGCATTAAACCTTAAGTATCTGCCACATCCAATGTATAAGAATTCCGTTACTAGTACGAATTTGTCGTCAAAACATGCAAAGCGTTAGCAATTATTAGTTAACGGGAGATAGCCATTTCTTTAAGTCTTGTTCGGTATAGCCGTACTGTTTCTTTAAAGGGTAACCGCTAGCAGAAAAAGATAGTAATCTTTATACACTGAAACAGGGTGTCAAAGATACAAGAAATCGGAAGGACGGAGAGTTGCTTGTGTATTCTGGTGGGCACATCGCATTTTGACCAAGCTTCTGGGGCAGACAATCGTGGAAGTAAAGTGATCGTACATCCCGCCATTCTAAATCTATGCATCTAAGACACTGAGCATTTCTTCTACACTTTGAAACTTTTCTCTTTGCTTTCCCCTTGCTTTACCATTCTCTCGTTCGGCGTCATCAATCTTTTTCCAGTCCGTCCAACTGAGCGGTCTGGCCCCTTTGCTCTCTACCGCCTCCCTCAAAGCCTCCCATCCCAATCTGGTGCCTTTATTTTCACCATTTGTGTCATTTAAGAAGGGCACGCCAGCCTCCCAGTCCTGAGCAATGATATCTGCAGAAGAGAAAGCGTCCTGCATGGTGCTCGCTATTACTCCAGTTGGCCCGCGTTTAACCCACCCTGCGCAGTACAGGCCAGAAACATGGCCGGCTGTCAAGTTTCCTGGACCAGCCGAAGGGGTAATGACACGCCCGTGCATGTCGTTCGGGATGATGCCCAGCTTGTCATCAAAAGGCACACCAATATCTGAGAGTCCAGGAATGGCAGCCGACTTGTAGCCTACAGATCTAAAAGCCAAAGATGCTTCAATTTTTGTCTCATCCTTGGTAGGCACAACGCGAGTCCTCTGATCAAAAGGATCACCATCTGGTACAAATTGTTGCTTTGTGAAGGTTATCGAGGAGAGATGACCGTCAACCTCATGCATGGCCTTGGGGGCCTGCATAAAGTCGAGCGCCCATGACCGTGTAGCCTGCTGTGCAGGAGTTGCCGAGCCCTTGAGAAGTACTTCGGCAATGCGTTTCTGGACGCGTGGGAGCTTCTTGATGTCGGCGGGATACAGGGAGCGGTCGATAGGTTCAAAGGCAACGGATGGTATTTGCATGAGCTCACGGGCTTCTTTGACGGTGAAGGCAGCCTTGATTAAGTGTCAGATGTGTGTTGCCAGCACCGCTGCCACAACGTACCTGTATGGGACCACGTCTACCAACGACGCGCACAGACCGGACCTTGCTCTCAGACAGCGCCTGTATGGCCTGATCGGCAATGTCTGTATTACGTAGCGCGTCTACGGGACTCAACAAAATACGCGCGACATCTAGTGCAACATTTCCTTGGCCGATGACGACGGCCTGCTCACCAGCATCAAGGTTTGGCTCCAGGTGTTGGAATTGCGGTAGACCATTGTACCAGCCAACGAAGGATCTAGCAGAGTAGACGCCTGACAGATGCTCTCCGGGGATGCCCAGCTGTCTATCCTCGGTTGCGCCATACGAGAATAGGATAGCATCGTAATGGGGCTTCATGTCTGCTAGCTGCACATCATAGCCGACCTTGACATTGCCAATGTAATTGAATCGCGGTGAGCGGGCAACCTCTTCAAAGGTGTCTTGACAGTTCTTGACCTCTGGGTGATCGGGCGCAACACCATATCGGACGAGTCCATAAGGGACGGGGAGCTGCTCGTACATGTCGATGACGGCATCTTGGTTCTTGTTCATGAGACGATAGGCAGTGTAGAAGCCTGCGGGACCTGAGCCGACAATGGCAAGGCGGAGGCGACCTCGCGTGCTTGATACCGTGCTGTACTCATGGCGGAGAGAAAAGCGTAGGGCATGGGCAAAAGAAGGCTGGCGCGCTACCGACAGCTGTAACGGAGCAGCACTACTGCGGGTGACATGTGGGCGTGTGGCAGGGAGGTGGGTCAATTGCGGCGGTGTATTTGTTATTCGTCGTGTACAGCTAGCGCAGACACGAGGCGTTCCCAAGTGTCGTGAAAGGAACATGGTGTGAAGGTCCTTGCGGTGGGTAGCGTCAATCAATGCCTGTCCCAAGACATATGTGGATGACTAAGCCTACGAATCACATAACTACGTGCAATCATATGCACCCTACTGTAGCCTCATCCAACAGAACATCAGATGGGAACCATGCACACCCATCCAAACATCCGCAACAACGTACCAACATATGCACCCACCAGCCCGGCTATCCGCATGCAAACCCCACACGTTCCCGGCTGAAGATCCAGGTTACAGCTTCTTGCCGCCGTCGCTAGTCAATGCGTGAGCCGTCCCAACCGTGCTTCTTCACGTCATGCCGACTATTGATTGTTGCCATGGCAACGCCCGTATTTACACATGTACTTACTTAGGTACATATGCCACGTACATGGCCATTCTCACGCGGGCCCTTGTCTCTTAGCCGCCATCCGCATTTCTGTTCAATTGGTGAGAGGTCACTTCGCACCCTCTGCTCTGACGGTCGTGTGCTGAAGCCCTGTCTCCGCTCCTTCTCCCAACAATGGCGGGCCGCTGGCAGCCCTACGCATACGGATATGGATATGCAAACCAACCGCAATCCATGGCCGACATAGATCCCTCCCAGCCCATCTTTGACCCAAAGGCCATCACCAGGGCTAGTCGCATGCCGCCTTCGCCTCCCAAGAAGAAGCCAACAGGGCCGTTGATTGATTTCAACAAGCACCCCGACAGCTTTCTGGTTCTTCCCTATGGAAATACAAAAGCAAAACCTATGACTGCCAAGACAAAGCTCTTCATCGACATTGCGCGATGGACCCAGTTCGGCTTGAGGATCATCACGCTCTTGGGCGCAGTCGGTGTATTGCTGTGCGGCATCTTCATCCGCGGTGTACAGGATACCGAAGGCTACATTATGAGGATACCAGTAAGTGTTTAGTCACACTTCACAGAGATTTCGCTAACAGGTGCAGCCCGGTGTGGATCTTATCATCTCATTGTATGCTGTGTACCACTTGATCCGTAATCCCAAGAACAGGCCAGCAGGAAGCTCTGCCAGCTACCACTTCTTTGCGCTTGTCACAGATGCTGGTTTCATTCCCTTCTACGTCTTCACCGTCTTGATGGCTCGACGAAACTACGACATGAAGGTTGGAGAGAAGGGTCGCTGGGTCACAATGTTCCCTACCAACGAGGAGACCGAAAAAGTACTTTTTACGACATGGGTCACCGCCATTTCGGTCGGTGCTTTGCATCTGGTTTCCACCTTCTTGGACATGTACATGGCTCTTGTATTCCGCAAGATTTCCAAACTACCACCGGACATGAACCCGCTCGAGGACAATCTCACGTCACGCAGAAAGGCCAAGCACAAGCATAAGAACTCGTCCATTTCGGCTATGGAGCCTCTTACCGCAAAGCAAGAGAAGCATCTCAGCGACCAGACCACACTGTATAGTGGCCGGACCTCAAAAGCCGAGTCATACATCTATTCAGACATTCCCAGCCCTACCAAGAACCAGGTTGCATTTATGCACACTCGCGCAAAGTCCGAGACAGTATACTCGCCGCATACGCCTGCGTCAGCTCGTCAGTCTAGAGAACGTTTCTCCATGTACTCACAGCCCCCTACTGCATACCAATCCCGGAAGAACCTTAACCATCGCGATGACCTTCTTAACGACGAGGAAGACAATCAGACTCTAGCGCAACGCAAATCGATGCTCTCTGGCAAAGGCAATATCAAACGACACTCGCGTCCCGGCTCTAATGTTACTAGCCCAAGCAAGAACGAGTTCCACACGCCTCGTTCAAGTGGAAACAATGAACAGCAAGAAGCAACTGGTGACCTATCTCTGCAGCGGAACTCACAGCAAAGCCTCAAGGCAGACAACTGGTTCGTCTCAGCTGAAGAAGATGATAATGACCACGATGGCCACGCACCCCAAGCACTCAAGCAGTCCATTTTCGCCTCCGCAAACGCCAACAAGGGCTACAGCACTGTGACTGCATACGAAGTACTTTCTGATCACGAAGACGACGCCGACGCCCGAGAACCAATGATGCCACAGCCTCTGCGCATGAACCCACCGTCACCTCCTCCAGCCGACGTGTCAGACCACCAAGGAAGCACACCTCCACCTGCATACCTCCAATCCAACGACAACGCCCGCCACAGCATGCGTACAGAAGAACACCTCGACCGCCCCCAATCGCGCGCTACAACACCCAAATCGCGCCGCTACGGCAACCTACAAGACGCCACTGCCGGTGTCCGCAGCGCCAACTCGCCTCACTCCAATTCCTCATCCCCAACTAAAGATTCCTCCTTCCGCCGCCAACCCAACCACTTCCCTAGCGCCACCAAGCAATACGCCGTCAACGCGCCTGCTCCCCAGAACGGTCAAGGTAAAGGCAACGGACTCGCCCCCAATGCGCCGTTTTCCCTGCACAAGAAGAGCTACACGTCGATCAAGCGTACAGGCGAGGCCAACTCGACACCGGTTAAGGGCCAGTCACCGCGTGTGATTAGCAGGAGTGGAGTTGACTACACGGGTGCTTTTGCCTTTGACGACGCCGATCTGGGTGTGCCTGGGCGCAGGCGCGATGTCAGCGGTAAGATTGCAGAAGAAGGCCGCGGTGGGCATTGGGGCGGGAGTGGAATTGTGCAGCGCAAGGTAAGCGGTGTTGCTCAGGCTTATTGAACAAACCTGAGTCGGGCGTTTCTGGGAGTTTTCACTGAACGAAAATATGGAGGTTTTGTTTTTCCATCTACAGTCTGTATAAATAACGCCGATGTTAGGATGAATATCATGTTAGGTATGTATGGATGATACGAGGGGCTTGCTTAGCTGAGCTCTACGAGTTTCGGGGTCTTTTCATGTTCGATTTTGGGGGCATATGGGAATACATAAGGTACGTCTTGCGTTGGTATTTTTTGGATGCAGTAGTAACGCTCTCGATTTCGAGTTGTGAATAATGACATTTGCGAATTCTACTGCTGCCTTACAATCATATCCTTCTTCTTCTTCATCGTGATCATGATTAAAAAACCTTTGTATGGTTTGATGCCTGTGTTCATACAATCGTTACATTGTCATAATGCTTTAAAATAAGACTTTTTTGTATGCAACCAAAAAAAGGCCCAGGCCCAAGCTTAAGCCCAGTATGAACAACCATAAAAGCAAAAGCCGCCATGACAGGAAAAGTAAAATGCACAAGCGAACATGGAAAAAAGTAAATCAATACACTTCCCCGCCAAGGCCGTCCCAGGATCTTGATGACGAGCAAAAGATGCACGCTCCTATATGTATGTTATGCATAGACAGTCAAGTGATGTACATCAATCAGTTCGGAACAAAGACAGCATGCGCAACAATAGCAATCGCGACGCCATTTTCCATGCAATGCAATGCCATCATGAGTCGGAACAAGAGTGCTGGAAAAAAAATAAAAATAAAAAAGAACCACTGCAGGGCGCAGACATGGTTGCCAGCTCTATCGTGCTGGATGGGCTGGATAGGGTCCGTGCTGGTGATGGTGTGGAGGTGCGGGCATGGAAGAATGATGATATACGACGTGCTTATCCTGCGGAGGATAGGCTTCGAACATGACTCGTCTTTGGGGAGCTTCAGTCCTGAGTGGACTTGGCTCTAGAGTCCCCACGGGAAAGCGCTGCGAATTGTTCGGACTGCTCATGAAGAGCAATGTGTCGACCGCGTCCTTTTCTGCTTGTTGACTAGGCATACGAAGGATTCCTGCTCGGGGAGTTGCTGGCGATCGCATGTCCCCACTCAAGTCACTGTAGTATTTCCTTTGGCCTGTTGCTAGAAGAGGAGGGGGAATATGTGAGACTGTAGACCGGCGTCTTCGTGAGTTCTGGAATGTGGGAGCCGGAGCAAGGCCATGACCATGGCTAGGCCCGTGACCGTGGTTGGCACCAGTAATGGAGATGAGGTTTGCGGCAGCATGCATTGCAGGACGGGTAGCTGGTGTCCAGTACGCTAAAGAGTGTTAGGAATGCTTTGGTCAAAGGGCAAGGAGACTGACGGCCTGGTGTTCCCACATATGATCGCGTGGGATCAGAGACCGGTGACATGATCATCGGATCAGAAATATCCGAGACACCGCTCGGTCTCCGTCGTCGTTCACTATCAGCAGGCGAGTCGAAAGCTAAGAAATCACTTCTGCCAGGAGCAGAGTTGGGCGATCCGCGCTGCGATTGGCTTTCTTCCAATTCTTCGAGCGACTGTTTCTCCCAGCCGCTCTGGACCTTGACCATGGCGTACGAAAGACGCGTCTTGAGCTGGGCAGATAGCTGCATTCGCGTCAGCATTCAGTAACACGAGCTTGATGCGAGAAGGCGCACCTCTCCAATGCGAGTGCCCGAGTGTGTATCCATGCTCTTGTTTCTCTTGTGGGCAGCCATGGGTCTGGAGGTAGAAGGTGTCGCGAGGGCCACACCAGCAGCCTTGACAGAGCCGTCTGCACTTCTCTTGGAGCCCTGGGTAGCTGGGGAGCCTAGTGGTTTTGGACTGGGTGCCTTGTCACCAGCGCGCGACTCTTTAGCAGCAGCGGTATCGACGCGCGGTGCGGCCCACGCGTCGCCACGAGGAGATTGGGGTGGGTGTTTTAGCATTGGGGCTGGTGTGTCGGCAGGTTTGGAGTGGTGGCTCTCAGCATTGGCCGACGAAGGGGCGGTACTCTCGGTCTCTGTAGTCGTGGAAGTTGAGAGGGTGCTCGAGGAGGAAGCCAGGGCGGGAGCGGAAAAGGTGCTGGACTGGGCCGAGTGGACTGTTTCTTGCGAGGCCCGCATGTCTGACTGGTGCGGACTAGCAATGGATGGTGTAGGGGCAGAATCGGGGGCCTCTAGTGGCGCAATGGACATGTGAGAACCACGGTAACGGGCAGGTCGACTTGGGGGATGTCAAGACTTACGATGAGGCATCATGGGCGGACAGCGGGGTAGGAGAAACAGTAGGAGCAGGAATAGTACGAGTGGCAGCTAGTAATTGGAAACAAGCGATGGGAATGGAGTCAAAAATGCAATGGCTGGACAAGAAGGGTTATCCGGTGCAAGGTCGAGGGTACCAAGGCGTGGCAGTGGGAGCAGGTGGTGGAGAGGGAGTGGTGGTGGAGGTGGTGGTGGTGGGAGACGTGAGTGTGCTTTACGCGGTAGAACGCGATGGCAAGCCAGATAATTAGTGGACTCGCAGCCCGTTGGGAAGGCGCACCGATGATGGTCGCCGACACAGAATCAGTCGAGAAACAAGGGCGGGGGGTTTGCGAGGCTTCAAGGCGCGTTCTGTACAGAGCGTGAAGGCAAAACTGGCGACTTTGTCGTGGGCCGTCGACTTTGCGAAGCGGCGCGAGAGGCTTTCGAACGCACGCGTGGGAAGCATTTTGGGAATAGCGCATTGCCACAGTCTGCACTAATGGGCAAAGCACGTATTAATAGGCGGTAAAAGCGCATGCGCCCAACGCTGCCGAACGGCTGGTCTTAGCAGAGTTTTCGGGGTAAGCGTGACATGCATGTGTGCAGACGGATCCTATCGTGTTTGTGGCTGCAGGTTTGCTTTTCCGTCATTGCTACATAGTCGCATTCCATTCATACTAGATACGTAGGGTAGGGTGCAAGTCACTTGCCACTGCCCTATAACGTAAGCTTTCGATAGCGCGTGTTGGCTCTGTGATCGCGATCCAAAAGCGCCGTATTAATTACTCCGCTTGCTTGGTACGCGTCCAATTCCCTCGGCTGGACTGCAAGCCGGACACGCCCATAGGACAGAAAAATACACACCACCTAAAATCACATCGGATAACAAAACATTCCCTTACAGTCAACAAAAAATCGTGCAAATTAAATGACACGGCATGGTGGATTCAACAAAAGAATACAAGCGAGAAAGGACGAAGAAAATCATTAATTCAGGCGCAACATCAATAACCATTGCCTACTCCGCTCCTGACTCATAACAAACTCCTACGAGCTGCGGTTGTAGTAGTCCCACTTGGGCAGCTTCATGGTACCATGCTCGTTCAAATGCCTATGCATATCGAAGCTGTTCCACAGCAGGTGAGGCTCATGGCCCCATCCCTTCCTCAGACACTCGAATTCCGCCTTGTTGAAGTAATCCTCCAAAATAGGAACGTAGTCAGGGTGGGCGCACTTCTTAATAATAACCCGGGCACGCTCCCTGGGCGACAGTCCGCGCACATCAGCAAGACCTTGCTCAGTTACGACAACGTCGAGGTCATGCTCCGTCTGGTCAATGTGAGTGCACATGGGCACAATGCAAGACACACCCGTAGGGTCCGTCTTTGATGGGCGAGTCGATGGTGTATGCATAATCGAGTACTTAGCAGAGCGCAGGAAATCTGCAGAGCCTCCAAGACCGTTGAGCATGCGGCTGCCCATAACGCAGGTAGAGTTGGCGTGTGCGTAAATATCCACCTCTACAGGTGTGTTCATACCAATGACACCAAGACGTCGGATAATCTCAGGGCTGTTGGATACTTGCTGGGAGCGGAGCAAAAGCTTAGGCGCATACTGCTCCCATCCCTTGTAGAAGCGGTCGAAACCGTCAGGTGAGAAACGAATTGACGTAGCCGTTGCAAAGTCGAGGTTTCCAGAATCGAAAAGGTCCAGGAAAGAGTCTTGGAGAACCTCAGTCCATACCTTGAGGTTCTTGAAGTTTGCACCGCCAGACTACACGAGTTAGTCCACGAGATATTAAGCAAAGCATGCGAAAAAAAAAACCTACAGCAAGACCACCAACAACGGCGTTGGCAATGTTTCCAATGCCGGACTGAAGAGGCAATAGGTTCTCCGGCAGGCGGCCATGGCTGACCTCATGCTTCAAAAACTCAATCAAGTTCGCAGCAATGGCCCTCGAGGTTTCATCCTCGGCAGCGTTGGGCTGTGTCTGATCTGGGTAGTCGCTCTCCACAATGGCAACCACCTTTTCGGGGTCCACAGGGATGTGAGGTGTGCCGATGCGGTCTTCAGGAGACATGATCAGGTAAGGCTTGCGGCGTGGTGGGAGGTCAGTCATGGTAATGTCATGTAGGCCCTCAAACGAAGGAGCGGCAGTGTTGACTTCAATGATAATCTTGTCGGCCATTTGGACAAGCTCGGGCGAAGCGCCTACACTGGCGCCAGGAATAATGCCACCGTCCTCAGTAATTGCAGACGCTTCGACAATAGTCACATCCAGCTTGTTCTGAGGCTTGTTCAATGTGTAGAAGCTTGTCCAATCAGTACTGTCCATTCTTGAGGTGGTTTTGCGTTCAATTACTTACCCGTACATCAGATCGACGGGAAACATACTCAAATGTTTGTCGAAGAACTTGATGTTACCATTGTTAATTCCTTTGGCGATTTCCTTGCCCACTTGATGCGGAGATCGGCGCTCAATCATGTTGAGTCGCGCCCATCGATTTTCTGTTTCGGCGCCTGACGAAGCACCGACGAAGAGGTTGTACTTCATCTGGCCCTGAAGATTGTTCTTCTCAACATGGTCCGCCAGCGCCGTGGGGATTTTCCTGCAATCATGTTAGTCGACGGAATGAGCAATGCCAGAAGCGAAGCATATATCCAAAATAACATGTTTTCAACAACAACCATAGACAGAACCGGTCTCATGAGTCGTCCTGACTAGCCAACATGACATGGCCCATGCAGAGGTGGAATTGTGGAGCCGGAGTTAACTCGGCTTTCGTCACTTGCCAAACTTCCGTTCCCCCTCGGAACTACGGGTATGTGTTTACAGACTCCCAACACAATACCCAAGTTTCTGATGTTTCTCAGGGGGTCAAGGCCATCGCCGTATGGCCGCTCATGTAGCTGGACAAAAAGATAAACACACTTACTTTGGGTATCCCACACCTGTGAAGCCACTCCAACCAATGTATGCTCCATTGGGAAAGTGGTGTAGTAAATCTTCCGCTTTGGCAAGCTTCTTGAGATAACTCGGCCTCCGAACTCGACTCTTCAATGCTGCTGAGACGGACATATTGAACCTTGTATTTTGAGTTCAGCTGTGGTGACGATGCTAGGATTACGTAGAGCTTATCGATAAAGCCTTTGAAGTTGTCCGGGAAGCAAACAGCTCAGCGTGAGCAACAAGATGAAAGATGAGAGAGTGGAGAGGAGCCGCGACGGGCGAAACTTGAACCAAAAACTCTGGGGAACTCTGAGAATTTAAACTATGGAAAGGCTAAGACTAACTCCTTTTGAACAGCACTGGCGTAGAGTGTCGCTGTGGGCTGATGCTCATCGACCCACCCAAGCATGACGTCTGCCGTAAAACCCCGGTCCAGGGAGAGGGGCGCACGCAGAGATGCCAAACGATTGGAGGAGATGCTGCCTTTTATGCATGATGTGCAGCTTCTCAGGATTAGATAGGTACAGCAAGTGTTCAGTACCCTTCGGGCTTAGAGTACATTGACTGGTACAAGTACGGGGAGCTCATGGTCTTAGCGTTCATGCCTATAAGCCTGTCGGAACCCTCCTTACTGAACTCACGATATATCAGGTACAGTCTGTGAAAAAAACAAAGAGACCACTGGTCCCAATCCTGTATTCATATGAAAAACAACCCAGCGATCCTGCGCTTCATGGGCTAATTAGGTCAGACCGATATGCTCAGTCACCTTTACTCAGACAAACTAATTGTTGGTACCACGACAAAACAGACTTACATGCTACAGCTCCATAACATCCTGTACGTTTCCGGTCAAGCCAGCCTGTTTCGTGCCCTGGGGAGAGAAGTAAGTCTGGAAGACATCCTTCAAAACCTTGTCGCCCAAGTTCATATGTCCGCCTTTGGTGGTCTTGAAGTGCAGACCACCCTTCTGATCTAGCTTCTTCAATCCAATCCAATCCTCTTTGTAGATGTCACGATCCCTCAGCTCTGTTACCTCGTTGCTGGTAAGGTTTGTATATGCAAACCAGCCGCTCTCCTTGGGTATGACTGTCGTGTCGTCCTCGAACACATACATGACGAAGTTGTCCAGCGCCGCAAGATTCTTTGCGTACGCTGGGTTCTTCAGCACGCGCTCGTTGTTGATGTCCGCGAGAAAATTCGACGCTTCGAGGTAATCGTCGGTCGGCTCGCCGGTAGTTTCGTTTGTGGCTTTGAAATACTGTGCTGGGACAAGATGTCCTTGAACCCACGAACCCCATGTGTTTGCCTTGAGCAATCCAATATATCCTTTGCATAACCAATCTCCATCTTTGCAGAGCTGGTACTTTGCAATGCCGTTGTGCTGACTTCCAAAGGTAACCAGATTCCTGATGTTAATGCGATCTCCGCATCTTTCCACCAATCCCCGAAGAAACTGTCCACCTTGTGAGAAGCCCATTGCATTGAGGCCCGGCGCTTGCGACAAGACCTCATGTTCCAAGATGTCGTCGCAAACTTGAGCAATCTGCTCTGTCACATTGCCCAAAAACGTTGCAGTCCGGTCGCTTCCAGGATCTTCGTCGAGTCGGATGTAATAAACATAAGTGCCTGGAACTGTCTCGTTTGCGAGTTCGCCGACGCTTTGCAGACCATCTGCAGCATAGTTGTCGCCTAGGCCGTGCCATATAAGCAGTGGCAAGGGTTTAGATTCGCTATGCGCAGAAGGTAGCGCTAAGGTTCGCGCCACCAGAAGTAGGGTGGAGACGGGGAGTAAGTGCAGCATTGCGAAATGTGTGTGAGAGGAGAAGTATCGTGGTTCCGTGGTTGCGAGGCGTGCGACACCTGAGACGCGTCGGATGACGTCTGCATCCAGCCGAGGCCGCTTCAGCCGGAAATGGTCAAAGCGTATACTACTACAGCTCACCATGCAGTCACTCCATACGCCTTCCAAACGACGGACCCTGAACGGATTTTCTAACGCGTCGCAGTGCAAACGAAGATCATTTACATAGTATATTCTTGAGATATCACAGTCATGTGTACGAAGTACTAACGAAATGTACATCGTATCTATCATTACCTTGATCAACACAACCTTCTTCCATGTGTCGCAAAAATAATCAATTGTCTTCAGCTTGCCCTACTGCTTCTCCAACTATTGACAGCTATAGTACTTGAGTAGGAGGCTCTGTATAAAGGACTTCTAATGTATTGATAGTGTTGCTTTACTAAACGACCTAAGTACACCGAGCTAGTTCGTTGTCAAACTGTAAGCATAGATACTTTACTTACAGAAAGGCAATAAAAGTCTTTTGATGAGTCACTATCGCTGAATCGACACAACCCATACAGCGTGAACGTCCCTGGAGGACTAAGACAAGACTGTTACAAATTTATGTTACAAGTAACAAGAAGGATTCTCTCCTTGACGCAGGGTGACGAGGTTGAAGACCAACCACGTCCACG